GGCCGCGGGCCGGGGCCGGGGCGGCGCCGTGGGGCCCTCCCTGGAGCAGTTGTTCTGGATCATGAGGTCCTCGATGCCGTGCACGGCCGAGTGGAAGGCCAGGTCGCCGCGGCAGGTGCGGGCGGTGCGGCGGGTGCAGCGGGAGTAGGAGCGCAGGGCGGTGCAGAACGCGGCGCCCCGGCCGGGCCCGCGCAGGGGCAGCGTGGCCGCCACGTACTCCGAGTTGCAGCGCAGGATCTTGCACTGGGAAGACACTGGGGAGAAGGGACATCCTTGGGATGAGGGGGGGACGGGGGTGGGCGAGGGCAGCCCCTGCTCCTCCCACCGTGTCCCACCGTCTGGAGTGATGCAGGTTCCCATGGACACCCTTCCTGGCAGGTCTTGCCTCCCTGTTCCAACCCACTCCAGATTCCCAGGGAAGGCCCTTCCTGGAAGGTTTTGTCTCCTGGCGGTAAACGGGAAATTTCTGAGCTGGAATTTCCCTTCTTCCCGCTGGAATCTTGGCCAGTCACGGAGTGGTTCTTTCATGAGGTTTTTTTGGCTGCACCAAGGAATTTGGATCCCCCTGGCATGCAAGGTTCAGTCCCTGGAATGAATCTGCATCCTCTGGGATGCAGTGTTTGATCCCTGGGATGAATTTGGATCCCCTGGGATGCAGGGTTTGGTCCCTGGGATGAATTTGGATCCCCTGGGATGCAGGGTTTGGTCCCTGGGATGAATTTGGATCCCCTGGGATGCAGGGCTCGGTCCCTGGGATGAATTTGGATCCCCTGGGATGCAGGGCTCGTCCCTGGGATGAATTTGGATCCCCTGGGATGCAGGGCTCGGTCCCTGGGATGAATTTGGATCCCCTGGGATGCAGGGTTTGGTCCCTGGGATGAATTTGGATCCCCTGGGATGCAGGGTTTGATCCCTGGGATGAATTCAGATCCCCTGGGATGCAGGGCTCAGTCCCTGGGATGAATTTGGATCCCCTGGGATGCAGGGTTTGATCCCTGGGATGAATTCAGATCCCCTGGGATGCAGGGCTCAGTCCCTGGGATGAATTTGGATCCCCTGGGATGCAGGGTTTGATCCCTGGGATGAATTTGGATCCCCTGGGATACAGGGCTCATCCTTACCATGCCTGCAGAGGAGGAGGAGGAGGAGTGAGCGGAGGAAGAGGCCGGGGTTTTCCAGCTGGCCTGGGCTCCTATGGTGGGCAGCTCTCCCCATTCCCATCCATGCAGAGCCCGGGGGGTCCCTCACCCGCCGGCAGCTCCCGGCGTCATCCGGCAGCTCCCCTGGGAGCGGAGCAGAGCTGGGATCAGAGAGGGCCCCAACCCAGCACTTCCAAGGCCACCAACTCGTCCCCAAGTGCCACATCCCCAGGGAGGGGACTCCCCCGCCTCCCCGTGCCTCCTGTGCCCAGGTCTGACCACCCTTTTCCATGGGAAACCTTCCCTGATGTCCCCCCGAAACCCCCCGTGATGCAGCTCAAGGGGTTTCCTCGGGGTGTGGGTGTGGGGTGCCCTGGTCCCCCCTCAGCCTGGGGACACCACCCGTGTGACTGGAGCAGCCCTGGGTGCCAGCACCGTGTCCCTCATTCCCTCTGCCCCCCCTCACCTGCCTCAGCCTCCTCGGGGGACGATCCCGCTGCCGGCACCCGGAGCTCCTTCCCTGTGGGACACATGGGGTGTCCTTGTCACCAGCTCTGCCCTGGCAGCCCCATGGCACGAGCCGGGACAATTCCAGCCCCCCTGGGCTCTCCCGTGGGCTTGGAGCCCCCCATGGAGCACGGGGCTCCCCGTTCCTCCTCCTCCCCAGCCACCTTTGCTCCGTCCTTTCCCCCCGCGGGGCAGAGGCGGGCGATGAAATCGATCCTCCTAAATTTAGCCGGGCTCGGATCCAGCCGGGAATGACAGCCGGAGCGGCAGGGGGAGCAGGGAGGAGGGAAAGGGGGGGGGGACACAGGAGCTTCAGGAGCCCCCAAAACCCCTGGGGGGGCCGTGGGGTCACGTCACCAGCGGGAGCTTCCCTGAATTTCCTTCCTGGAAACCTCCCACCTGCACCCCTGGGAGTGAGTCCCTGTGGAAAAGCACCTGGCAGGATGAATCGACATTGGGAAGGGGATGTATCCTCACTGGGAAGGGGATGTGTCCCCACAGGGAAAGCTTTTCCAGTATTTTCTCTCCCAGTTTCCCCCCCTGGGGCACAGCCACGGCCCGGACACAAACACGGCCCGGGCCGATGTCCCCAGGGGTCGATGACCGCTGGGCTGTGCCGGCTGCATTCCCAAAATCCCACCTGCCTGGGGGGCAGGAAGGAGCTGCACCAGCCCCTGTTTCTGTAGGGAGGAGGAATGGTCGAAAATGCCCACGCCAGGATTTCCCAGGTCTGTTTTGGAGGCCGTGGAAGAGGACAGGGATGAGAATCCCAGGGTTGGCAGGGACAGTTCGGTCCCTCAGCGCCCCCAGCACCCACAAATCCCTCTGGAAACCAAGTCCCTGCTGTTTTCCAGGCCTGGCTCTGCCCAGCAGGGAAGCTGCAGTGCTGGGATTGGGTGGGAAGTATTTGGGGAAAGCAGGATTTGCTGAAGAGCTGGAAGAGGCGACACCAGGCTGGGTCCAGTCAATCCCAAAGGATCCACCCTTCCTTCCACACCATCAATCCCATTTAGATTGGCATAAATCCCAGCCCTCCATCCCCAGCACCTCCCAGCGCTTCACTTACCCCAGCAAACGCCACGGGACCGGCACCAAATCCCCCCCGGACCCTCCAGAGGCGAATCCCGGTCCCTGGGCTGGCTCTGGCTCCGGGTGGGATCCAGGAGGGGATCCTGGCTGTTCCCAGCCGGGCTGGGAGTGGAGGGAGCAGGAAACAGCTGAGGGTCCTGACAGCCGGACCCGTCCCTGGGAGCAGGAGCTGAGGGGGCTCCACTGGTGTTTTATAAATAACCCGGAGGATTTTTGATCCCCAAAGGAGGATTCCAGTGGGGAGGGCAAGGGAAGAAGGAGGGGAGAGCCCGAGAGTTCCCCTGGATGGTCCTGGGTGGGCCACTGGGAGCTGCCCACCCTGAGGTTTCTCCAGGCACTGGGAAGGACGAGCAGGGTGGGAAATCCAGGGAGACTCCCATTCCAGCAGCCTCCTGGAGCACCTGGCAGGGGAGCACCCTCCTCCTGGCTCTGCAGGCTGGGAGATGGGAGAACCCCTGGAGAAGAGAGTGGTGCGGATTCCTCCAGGATTCTCCACCCCAGCGCTTCCCTCTCCCTCCCTGGGGGAGCTCGGGAGGTCCCGGAGATGTGACAAATGCCAGGAGATGTCAGGACATCTCATTCCTGCACCTGGAGAAAGAAGACCTTGACAGGGTCACCTGGCTCGAAGCTTCAACCCAAGTCCCACAGGAGCTGCTCCCAGGATGCTGATGTGTGGATAAATCCCATTCCCAAGCACCTGCTCCGGGGCAGGGCAGCTGGGGGCTAAAAAAATCCGTGAGCAGGTGGGTCTGGATGCTCTGGAGCTCTGAAGAGGGACCCTGAGGGACCCCTGCCCTGTGCAGTGACACTGTGGGGTGGTGGCAGTGTCCAGCCACTAATCCCATGGGATACTGGGACTGCCCCAGTTTCCCCATCAGTGGGAGAGGAAGGTCTGGGCTCTGCGTGGCATCGGTGTGGGGTATCAGTGGGTGCCACGGACCCCCATACCCCCTGTGCCCCCTGTACCTGCCCAGGCTCTCTGTACCCCCTGTACCCCCATCCCCACCAAACCCCC